CCCCAAAACCCCAAAACCCCAAAACCCCAAAACCCCAAAAATATAAGGATTTTTGAAAATACTGGAAATGGAAAGCAGAAGAAGACACATCGAGTCAGTTAGAGGATATAGTTCTCTAAATAGAAGCCTCAGAAGCACTATGATGAGCACATTTAAAAAGTATTAAAGCATTTCTGACTTGTCTAAACCCTATAGAAGCTCAATTGATTTATCAAGAATTCACTCAAGGTAATAAGATCCCTGCATCATCTTGTAAATAAATTATATAGTGTTGGAAAGAAATTATCACTGACCAGTGGAATCAAGTTCCCAGTCAGCAAGACTCCTATGCCAAAATAAATCTATTTTTGTGAAGAGAAAATCTATAGCTAAAGAGAAGATCAATTCCCTTCTTCGGAGGCAAGCAGACGATACATTATTTCCTTTTATTCACAGAAATTTGGATAGGACTAAAGACATAGAACGATCGATGATCAAGATTGAGCAAATAAAACAAAATCCTAGATCAATAAGGAGGATAAAGCATCTTCCCAAGTGTAATCTTGAGAGGTTGTGGAGAGAAACAATCTATATCCCAACAAAGTTATCTAAGTCTGCTCTCTCAGGAGCTCTTTACTCAAACATCACTTCTATCAACCAAAGGGTAAGTGCTCCTGGCTAATCCACGATTAGAAAGAGCATGATTTCTACCGAGAGTACACTGAAAAGGTGAGGCTTCGCAAACATTACCGTTTCAAATTTTCAGTGCATTTCACAGATAAGGAATTCACCCAGTTGACGCTAGGTGAATTTATCAAGCTAGGTGAGAAGCGTCGCCGGCTTGAAAAGCAGAAAAGTAGGAAAATCAGAGCTGCAATTGTTATACAGAAGCTGTTCCGCAAGTTCATTGCTCAGAAACGGTATAAGGAGTACATCAAGATCTACAATGAGAGTCAAAAGAGGTAGTAAACCATAATAAGCATATCTAGGATAATAGCAGCCCTCAAGATTCAATGATATTACAGAAATCGTAAGAAGCTGAAGAGGATGATAGAGCAAGAAAGGGTTAGGCGTTCCAGAGCTGTTAAGAAAGGACAGATCTACAAGTTCATACTCAGGTATATCATCAAATACCACTACCGCAAGCTTAAGTTGAAGTTCTTGCTCAAGAATTTGGGTAAAGAAACTATTTATTAACATTTTAGATAAGCGATTCAAGCTACAAAGACAAGAACTTGTGCTTTCGTCAGTTTTAAGGATCCAATATCATACAAGGAAGTTCTTAAAGATTTTAAGGAAGAAGAGGGCTAAAGCAAAGCTGATGAAGAAGAAGATTATCCAGTACAGAGTACCTAAGAAAAAGAAAAAGCAGCCTTCGAAATGGCGCATAGTTAACAGAGGAGGCAAGATCCAACGAATTAACATTGCCTCAGAAAAGAGAGCCAAGGTAGGGCCTATATTGACTTTTAGGAACTTAAGAGGAAGGAAATGGAAAGATTAGTCAATAAACATGGTAGCTTCAGAGATATGTCTCCTTCAATCTCTTCAATCTCAGACATTACTGAGAGGAAGATATCTTCTATAACCGTTAAGATTGTTGAAGAGGAATACAACCAAAATTTAGAAGAAAGTCAAGAGTTTAGCACACCTTCTGATAACAAAAAGTCTTCTGAGCTTACAAACTCTTCTGAAATGAAAAGTAAAAGCAACTCTTTGCCCAGGAAATCTTTGTTTGCTAAAAAGGAAGAAAATTCAGAGATGAGTGATAGCTCTGAATCATCAGAGTCCGAACTAGAAGAAAGTGAGACTTCCCAGATCACTCCTTCTCAGCAAGAGATTTGAAAGAGAAGGAAATCGAACCCTGATGCTCAGCTTAGCAAAGAAGGTAAGAATTTCAGGAATCATACATAGAGATTTATCCCCCAAACTTTGATGCCTCTCTTAAAAGACTAAGCTTGTTTGATAAGAGCGCCAATATGGACTTGAGCCAGGTAAAGGATGAAATCGTGAAGTCCCTCAGACAGAATTTGAAGTTTTATAATAAAGTACTGAATAAAAAGGAGGAATAGTTACTAATAATGATTTTCGAGAATAAAATCACAATTTCTAAAGAGACCTCACCTTCTTTATTTTAACCGAGGTGTTCAAATGGCTAGATTCTGGCAAAGGCTAGATGTAGGCTAGGGTAAATACTCATGATAAATCACTAAAGTCTATCATCCCACATTCTTCATAACATTGACTTTATGATTAGCTTCCATTTTTATTATGATATCTCATCTCAGAGATAATAATTTAAAGCTTTAGAGAAGTTTTACAATTGATTAATTCTTAAACCATGTTTTAAACGAGCCAATTTTTTTTTGAAAACTGGCAATTTCTCTTGAAGATAGTGCTTGAAGCATCCACATAGATGGCTCTAAGCTTTGTTAAGAACAGATATATATCTTTCTAAGTTGATCAAATCAGAGGAGTCTAAATCGTCACATCGAGCTGTAAAATGACTTCTCAAGTTTATATTTTGTTAGATTAGTTTTGACCAGGAGAGATTACAATAGTGCTAGTATTTCAATAAGCTGTCTAAACTTGGGGTTTTGGGGTTTTGGGGTTTTGGGG